TCAATCTAGGGAGTTTGGAGGCGCAAAACTGCCTCTGCCTTTACAGTGCTCGTGGACCCCTTATTTGGACAAATCTAGGGCCTTGGGGGTTTTGTTCATCAAGAGCATGGATTTATAATTAACACCCCCACCACAAACCCTAATATCAAACATGATCCCATATGAAGCTGCATACTGGGCCACCCTTACAGTACTTCATGGCAATCACACGAGCTTCAAGCCAAATGAGTATCTCGAATTAGAACTACGATTTGGTCCTATAGGGAGCCCAAATCACAACCCCTCTTCCTCCAGTGGCAATTCTTGACGGCTCATACAATGCGCAGTACAACAGTTGGGGTATGCACAAGGACGCCCATCTCCCCTAGGCCCTATGTCCCAGCAACCTAATCATACACTGCATCCAGCCTCGAGCCACTGCAGAAGGTATTGCACGGTAGCGCCGAAACCTTGCGCGTAGTACCGCGAGGAGTCGTGGTAGATCTCAGGAGGCAGGGTGGGCTTCAAAACGAGTTAACGTTTACAACGTAGGAGCTTGTATGTAGAGTCCATGCTCCTTTGAGGTGTATGGGTCATTTCTGAAACGCAGAATGCTGGATACAATACGATTTTGGCTCAGTGCTGGCTGGTCGGAAGCTCAGGTAGGAGAAGGAAGTGGGATGACTGTGTAAAACCTGGGACTTAGGCCAAGAAGGGAACTTATAACTTGTAACGCCAGAGCGATCAATACCATCCTACGCCGTAAATGCCTGAACCTCCTAGCTGTATCATCGGATTGTTCAGGCTTGCAAATTCGGGTGTCTTTAATATCCTTAGAGAGACAAAGCCTTGTTACCTGGGTTAAGGGGCTCGAGCTTCCAAGATAGAAATCCTCGCGATGTGTCATTTCGAAAAAAAAGGGAGTCTATCGGGTCTCTCCAGGTAACCACCAAGTTAAAATCAAGGTCCTTTTCAGGGTACGCAAGTGCGACCCATAAAGGGACCATGGCTTGGGCTTCCAAAGTATGGATCACGTTGAGACATTCCCTGCTTGAGGAACACGGGAGACTGTTTAAGGGTTTTGGTTTAAGGTGCAACGCTGCACACTAACTCGAAAAGCCCAAATCCTTTCCATGCAGGCCACAAAACACGTTGACCTAGACTTCAAACTCTTCAATGAGCTGAACACAGGACAAGAATGCGCTGACCAGCACCGCGGGAAGGCATTTTGAAAGACAGCGGAACCACCAAAACCCCAAGCCTGCCATGCAGCAATATTGCCAATGTCGATAAAAATGAAATTGTCATGTCAGCTCGCCCATAGAAGTTGAAGAGCAACCATTCCAATCATAAGCACCACCATAATCATCGTCAACAACATCATCCTCATCACCATCACCATCATCAGTGACAGCATCATCAGCGACAGCAACAGCGTCGACAGCAACAGGAGCACTGTATCTCACGCCTCTTTCAACATCCCACATGAAATGCGGCCAAGCTACAAGCCAGTCTCCCCACCCCACCTGGCGAAATGCCTGCCAGACATCAACGCTGAAAGAAAAACAAACAAATCAGAATTCATGTAAGTTTCAGCATGTAGGGGTACGTGCCACGTGCTAGCGTACCGAAAGCTGTTGTTGACTTGGACGGTCGGCGGGGTTTTGTAAGTGTAGTAATGTTGGACCTTCTGTAGTATTGAGGCCCTCTATAACGTTTTTTGGGACTGCCATATTCAGGATTTTGGGGTCTTCGGAGAACCCAGACCATCCCTTCCAAATAAATTCACAGGGACCTCAGAACCGTGAAAGGTTGAGGGGCTTGAAGGGTCGTAGTTTCTATCTTTATTGGGACCCTATTGGTAGGGGAGGAGGGGGGGCCAAGCTTAAAGAGCGTCCAACATTAATCATTGGGATAACTCAATTTCTCCCCTGGGTTTAGGGTCTACAACTACACCAAGTTTCCTGACCCTCCAAGTATCGTACAAGCTAGAACCATAACCAGACAACGAGTGTCCCAAAAGCGCTTGAGCAGTGAGGCAGTCAGCACCGCGACAGCTCGCATCATTGCATCCACCCATGTCTCCAGGTATACATGCACCCATCTATCACTCCATGCATCCATGTTCTTCACTCTGCAATATACCTCCTCAGCACATAGTATTTGTTAAGAGCCAGCCTCACGAAAACCGTACCAAAACCTCACCTGATGCCATCAACCTAACATCCCATTCACAAAAACCCTACAACAACCTCATCACACTATCCCATTCGCGTGGTTCCATGAATCAAACATCCAGCCATCCTGTAGACGCTTTCGGGAAGGAGCGTCAGGACACGCCGCGAACACTGAGAAGATTGTCGCTGAGAAGTTTGGCGCTCCACGCCAGGGCGTCCAGACGCGCCGCAAACACTGAGACAGTGGTGGCTTCCAAGCAAAATTCTGAGGGCGCTTTACGCAGGGAGCGTGGAGGCGCCGTAAACATTGAGAGAGTTGCCAATTCCGAGCGAGCAAAATTCTGAGGACACTGCACGCAGGAGCGTCCGGAGGCGCCGCATCCACTTGCAGGGTGGTCGATTTCGAGCGAAATTCTTAGGATGCTCCATGCAGGAGCGTCCTGAATCATTGAGAAACTTGCCGGTTCCGAGCAAACTTCTGAGGATGCTCCACGCCCCAGGGTCAGGACGCTCCGGGAACACTGAGAAAGTTCTTGATTCCGAGCAAAATGCGGAGCGCGCTCCGCGCGCCAGCATCACGACATGCTGCGAGCACTAAGAAGGTTCTCGATGCCGACCTTGAGGACGCTCCACGCAGGAGCGTCCGCGAGTACGCTTGCTCGCCAGCATCACGACACGCCGAGTCCATTGAGAGCGTTGTCAACTCCGATCAAAATTCGGAGAAAGCTCCACCGAGAACGCAATCTTGGGAAGTATTGTCGGGACGCGCCGCAAGCAATGAGAGAGTTGTCGATTCCAGAAAAATTCTGAGGACGCTCCACACTCCAGCGTGAGGCACGCCGCGTTCACTGAAAAGGCTGTCGATCGCTTCCGAGCACGCCCCAAGCGCCAGCATCACAGCATGCCGTGTCCACTGAGAGGGTTGTTAGTGCCAGCCAGAATTCTGGAGATGCTTCACGCGAGAGCGCATTTTTGGCAAGGCGTCGGCTCCCACCAGCCCTGCCCCGTGTTTCAAAACATGCTAAATCTATTTGGGGCCACAACTTCACGACCCACGAAAACCGTGCGAAAGCAAATTTCACGAAACCCTCACATCACACCATCAGCCTCGCAGGCCATCCGATACCTTACGCCAAAGATACAACAACTTCGTCGCATCATCCCATTCACATCATCTCATCATTCAAACCTCACGCCATCCTATCAATCAAGTATCATGCCATCCTTCAGGGGAAAACCCTTCGCCACGCGGTTCTGAATGAGTAGACTCGTAATCCGAAGCCCTAAGCCATCCACAGTGCAAAAACAACATAGAAGTGATCGTAACTGAAACAAAGCCAAAATCACACGGAGGCCTGCCAGATGAGGTAAGGCTTCCAAGCACCACCACGCTGGAAGTTTACCTGAGAATTCCTGGTTTAAGATGTGGGGTCCAGGGACTACAGTAGGGTTCAAGGTTTAAGAATGAGCGCTGACTGTTGTTTAAGCTTCAAGGGTCTCAGGAAAAATGGTGGAATAGTTGGGCGTATTATACGGCTCGTAGGGGGGGGGTTAGGATGGCTGCTCATCCACCTGACCCTAAACCCTAAACCCCAAACACCAACCCCTAGTTACTACCCAAACCCACCTGGGTCTTGGCAGGAGCGCTTTGAGATGGGAATTGACATCCTGTTCTGGGTTTAGGGTTTTGGTGCATGTCGAGGATACCCCGTCTTTCGGATGTGCAGCAAGGGCAGCTTCTCGAAATCAGAGGTCATCAGGGATCTATTAGGCGAGGGCCCTTACAGCTCCCGGAGTATAGAAACCAGGATGGCAGGAACCCAAACTACTACAAGCCAAAGGGGTCCAAGATACTGCGTCAGGAATGGAACCAAGTACCCACCAAATCTAGGATGCATGTGCCCACTTGGAGATAGGCCATGCCCTCAAGTCTTTGTTGGCTTAGGGATTTCTGGGCTGAGGACTTTTAGTAGGTTTGCAGTATTCCTTGAGATTCCGTGACTTAGTGTACTAGGATTTTGTTCATTAATGGCGGAATGGACATTCCCTTCCATCTTTCCCTGCTAACCACCAGAAGGGAAAGCACGCTTGGATGTAAACTCAAGGGGAGAATCTGACGTTAGTTCGAAGCTCCTTGCTTGAGCCAGCCAGTTCGAAATTTGCCCAGAAAGCATTGAAATCCTGACATCTTTAGGGGCAGAGCAAGAAATGGAAAAGTTTCGCAAAATGAACCCTATACAGTCGTGAGCAAAGTGATCACTGCCGTGTGCAACCCAAGTCAATTTGACCCAACACCCTACACCGCATATACCTGTACAATATCCAGAAGCGGCCATGAGTTTGGATGAAACGGACATACACCCCGTCGCCTAGAAATCCGCACTTGCTACAGGAGCCAAGAGTGAAAGGATAGAGACCCTGAAGCTTTGAATCCTCACATGAGCCATTGTCTAAACTCCTAGTATCCCCCTTAATAACTCCTGTGGTAGTGCCCCATATAATCCCCTATATAACCCCCTTTAAGGAGTTTAGACTATGGCTCACATAGGGCTTCGGGCTCCGAGTGAATCCCTACAACCTTGGATGCTCGAGCTTTCCAATCTCAACATCCCAATCCACTACAGCGCGAGCTCCTACGCTTTCAGAATTGTCAGATGCTAGACTCTGGACCTTTCCATCTTGGAACCTAAACCCTAGGAGTAATATAAGGGTTATATAGGTTATATAGGGGTAATATAGGGGTTATATAGGACTAATGGAAAAGAAATTGGAAACTACTAATCATTATTTTCGCTGCGCAAAACCACGTCCCGGAGCTGAAAACCTTTACGCATACCTGGCGACGTTCTCGTGACGCTTGTACCAGTCGGCACGCTCCGCAGACTCCTCAGCGGCATAATTTAGCGGCTGGCGCTTGAGGTCTTCAGTTAAAGCTGAGCATGCAGCAATGAGAGAACCGTCGTACGACAAACTTGCACGACAGACCTAAACTGATGTTGGAACCGGTGGTCACGGTAGTGCTGACGCTGATTCGTCACCATCATGATCATCATCCTCATCATCATCATCATCCTCCTCGTCACCATCATCCCACCATCCATCCTCGTTAACATCATCCTGGCCATGGACATCGAGAGCACCATCATCGTCGCCATCAATGTTCACATCCGCATCAGAAGAGCATCAACGAATTTAATTCCTAAAATTCCGCAAGACAATCCCTTAGAAAACTAGCCGAACTCCTGGGCTTCGAGGTGCTGGTAGACGCCTAAATGGCACCGAAACGTACACTATAACTTTTCCAAAGATAACAAATCACGCAACGTAGGTGGAGATCAAATTCCGGGTCTTACTACACCTTCGGCAACCCGAAGGCAGAGGGTCGAGTTTGGGATGGGGTTTGGGCGAATTACATGGGATTCTGGTGGATACAAAAGAAATCAGGGAGGAGGATTACTTGCCTGTTAGCTTTTGTGGCTAAGGGTTCTTGTCCTCCATCCGTTTCCAAAGATTATCTAGCCATCATGTGCATCCAACATAGCGCGACACGCCAAATGACAAGAGTGGTGGAAGAAAAAGTGGACAACTGTTTGAAGATGCAAGTTTGTAAGCTGTACAACTCTACAAGCTACGAAGGCCTTTGTACACGGTCTATCTGAGAGCCTCGGAAGGAAAGACTGCAAGGAGCTGTAAGTTGGAAAAAAAGTCTATCCGGCTGATAGGCATCTTACAGAGTGAAGCTTGAATACTCAGGGGTCCCGTGCTCCCCTTCGTTAGCCAAGGCCCTAACAGGCAAACGCACATGCTTCTGCACCCTAGCTGAATAAGCCCTAAACCCCCAAACCCTATCTCCTGGCAAGCGGCCCACTCCGATTCATTCCACTGCAGGTGATCAGTTATCTCCCCAATGTGCAGGCTCTCGTCCATCAGCTTCTGCGTCTTTAGAAATAGCTCGCCGGATGCATACCTTGGCTTCTTGGGTTTAGGGTGGTTTAGGGTTT